TGTGGATCTTTGGTTGTTCGGGTTTTCTCCCACGTAAGATTCGAAGTATCTAGGCAACGTTTCGATGAAGTCTCATTCATCATCTTCAGGCTTCTGTCTCCGGCTCTGTGCTTCTCAGAGTAATGGAGATTGCATATATATATATATATATATTTGTTTTATATGTCAAGACCTTTACATTTTATCTATATTCCATTAATCTGCTCTTCTTGAATATTTAAAAGCTTATTGGTACTATTACTGTTGTTGATGATGATGATGACTTTTGTAACTGAGATTACCCTTTCTCAATTAATTTTATCCTTTAGATTTTTAAAATAAAGTGAGTGATATAGTATATAACCTTTTCCAGGTGTCTTTTTTTCAATTTTTTTATTTGCAGATGTGACACTTGCTATATGTCAATGTCTTCTCAGTTCTGGTTTTGTATGCATTTCTTTCTTAAGTTTTGGTCTTCTTGTGCAGCCAGAATTACTTCCTCTGTCTCTTTCTTCAATTTTTCTGCTCTTAGCCATTGCCAGATCTTGTTGCTATCCATTTTCTCTGCTATTTTTTAAAAATGTGTATGCCATGTAATGCTTCATCTTCCCATGTCTGTTCTCTCTTCTTCAGTTGGTCTTTCTTGTAGGCCACTTTGATCTTTCCAGTATTCAGGAAGCCTTCCTGGTATACTGATTTCAGTGCATCTTCTTCAGTGTCCTTCAGATAATCTTCCAATGCTTTCTCTTATTCTTCTTCAATTGTCTGATGTATTTGTAACATTATTATTAGTGGTAGTAGCATTAGTATTAGTATTTATAAACTTTAAGAGCTATTAATAAAAATAGTTTCTAAAACAATACAATATTAGTAAAATATAGAGCTCATTCACTAATGGGCTCAGTGATGATAGAGCTCTCAAAATATTGTATGAATGAGAGTCCTTTACATGTAAGATAATATAATTTTGTATTTCTTTTGTGGTTAAAAAATAGCAATAGATTTGAGTTTAGACAACATCACAGACATTATTATATTTTAGCACTGCTGTAAAGAAAACTACAGAACTTATTAAAGTATAGAACCACCAAAAATAAAGTCCAGTTGCCAAGATTTAAATTCCAGACAACTCTACTTGTATAACTGAGAATCTTCATTGATAACCTCAGTGAGTGCTTGGTATAAAATTAGAGAAATTGCCTATAACAAAATGAAGCATTTCAGAGGAAGGATATAGCACTTTTGACCCAGAGCAAGAAAATACATATGAAAGCTGTGACTGACAAATGGTTTGAGGATGACATTGTGGGTACATGTTTTCCGCAAATTGTTTTGGGATGTTTTCATGTCAGGACAAGAAAGATGTGTAGTAATCCATTTGATTGAGATCCCATAAGTGAAATCCCAGGAATGATTTTGATGAGGGTATCTTTGAATTCTGAGTTTCTTAGACAGTAATTGACTCAATTAACAAGTGGTGTTAGAACAGTATAAATGTTTGTTGGGATCAACAGAATCAACAGATGTGAGGGTCCTTGGATGTGCATAGATAAAAAGGGAAGCACAGTAGAAAATAGTGACTATCAAAAGGAATCTCACAAATATGGAAAATATCTGTGGAGATTTTCTGTCATCCGGGTCATAGTTGTCTCGAAGATGCTTTTTTCAAAAGGCAACCATACTGTTTTTTTTTTCCCTTGGGGAAGAAGAAGAGACATTTCACTTCTCATCCAAGAAGCTTTATCAGTTGTGACTGATGAGTCACAACTGATGAAGGTTTTGGATGAGAAGTGAAACATCTTCTTTTTCTTCCTCAAGGAGAAAAACAGTACAGTTGCCTTTTGAAAAAGCATCTTTATGACATATGAAAAAACATTTTCTACTTTCCTTTGGCTGAAGGAATATGAAGAACTGTTGAGATGATATAAAAATGGGAAACAATTGTTAGAGAGAATGGAACAAGGAGAATGAGCAAAGCTAGTAAAAAGTCCATGAGTTCAGCCAATGACATTTTGAAAAGAAATGATATATCACATCTCTTCTAGCCAATAACTAAATATACCAGTAGATGGATTTTGGAATTTACCTGTATATAGATTTTTGAGGACATTTTGTTATGCTGAGATACACTGTTTGAGATTATTTTAAAGGCTAACATATACTCTATTATAATTAGTTATTAGTAATAATAATTATATATGTATAATTTTGAAATTCAAATAGAAATATTATCTATCATAAGAAGGAAAAAAAAGAAGAGGATAATGAGAAGAAGGTTGGTGGAGTTTGTTACAATGACAAAAAGTGCATAATTGGAGGACTTTAAGGATCACAGAAACTCTATGTAGTCACTAAAAGTTAACACACATTAAATGGCACATATTCTATCTATCTATCTATCTATCTATCTATCTATCTATCTATCTATCTATCTATCTATCTATCTATTTATCATCTATCACATACTTATTACTGAGCAAGATAATTGCACTATCAGTATCATTCCTTCCTGTTAAAATACTAAATATGATAAAACAGCATCATTGAATGGCAACTCCCTGGTCCAGGTTGTCAATTAGCCTAGAATATTAAAAAAAAAAAAATTAGCACAAAAAAGGGCAAATAACATAAATAGAAATTCCATTCCCCAAAACACAAAAAGAAAGGTAAGTATAGAACCAGTGTTTAATATAAAATCAAAAATAATATATATGAAAGTAACACACATTTTCACTACACATTTTCTTTCACAGTGTCGCTTTAATAGATGAAATGATAATGTGCCAAGTATGTCAGGGATTCAAAGAAGGAGTGGGGTCTGTTAAATGGGATAATTCCAGGTGACAGAGCCTGAGAGACAAACAGCTAAAGACTGTCATGTGGAATTGTCCAACCCATTCTGATGATTATATATAAAACATTCTATGTAGAACATGTGTAGAGAAGTTCATTGAAATCACAATTATTCATTATCTGCATGACAATGTTGGATCACTAAATTAAGCGGGGGGGGGGGAGAATTGCATCATTATATCATAAAGATGTGATTCTATATGGTCTAGAACCTTCCTTTAAAGAAGAGTGTCAAGCATCCAGACACTATCCATGATATCAATCACTCCAAGATGTTATCTCTCCAATAGATTTATTAGGAACAGATCTGGCACGTTGAAAAGCAATTTCCCAAGTGACAGCTTTTTCGTGCGTTATGCAAAATCTTGAACTTTTCAACTCCTCTAACTCTCTAAAAAAAATACGTGGCAGCTGACACAGAGTTGATTACAAAGAAGCACACTCTAATTCACTATTACCTGAATGCAAAATATGGTCTTGAATTTGGCATTCTGAACCATGTTGTATTTCATTACAATTCTCGAGGGAAATTCTTATTTGATTATAAAATAAATATGTCTTTGCAAACACAATGTACAAGAAAAATATGTACAAAATAATGTTATTTTCTAAAGCAATTTACAGGGGAAAAGATTGAAAACAATACTTCCTTTTTATTAAAATATGAGAAAAAAGAAACACAGATAATACATATCTGGAGAAACCAAAGACAAATTTCAATGTCCAAATAACTAATACAACTTTTACTATCTCACTGATATGCAGATAACACTTGAATAATTGTTGAGAAGATACTTTTCTAGATTCCATCAAAACAGGCAATGTTCTTAATTTCTCCTCTCAAAAGTCACATACAATGTGGAGACCAGTTTCAAAGCAACAGAGCTTGGTCAGTTTACACATCAACTCATGAAAACAAAACTACTTTTGTCTAAAGTCCTTCTCAGAACTTTTTTTGACATCTTTGTTTCTAAGTCTATAGATGAAGGACTTCAACATTGGGATAACTAAAGTTTAGAGCATTGACACAATTTTACTCTGAAAAGGGGAAGATATGGATGCTGGCTGAGCATAAATGAAGAAAACAGTCCGTAAAAGATGGCTACAGGTGTTATGTGAGATGCACAGGGAGAAAAAGCTTTCTGCCTGCCACCTGCTGAATGCATCTTGAGGATGGTGGAAATGATATAAGCATAGGAGGTGAATATCACACCTGTAGTAATGGAAATGATAACACCGCAGAGAGAGAACATCACAACTTAATTGATGTGCTT